TCCCCAGCCAGCAGGCTGGCTGGGGAATTCTGGGAGTTGAAGTCCACACATCTTCAAGCTGTCAAGGCTGAGAAACACTGGCATAGTGACGTACAGTAGATTTCCTTATGGCTATATCTAACAAGCCCAGAGACAAGAATGTGTGGCGTACAGAACACTACAGAGAGAGAGAGACAGAGATTCCCATCATGGTGGGCTAGCAAATTTCTTAGGATATCTGACCGACTATCTTTAACAGAAAAACTCTGGTTCAATACAGTGGCATCATCATTAACAGCCCAAATCAGTTTAGAAGGCCTTTCAGCTTTTCCGACCCCTTCGACATGCTGGGGGACATTTCCTCTGAACACCTTTGAATTGAGTTACAGCCGATGGCCAGTGTTCCTTGAGTGTTTTCTGAGCCTTTTAAGATCAATTGCTCTCCAACATTCATCTGTTTATCGTGCAACATAGCCATCCCATTGCCATTTCTATGGGGCCACCCACTTCATTATGTCACACTCACTTGTCTCTTGGGGGACCCATAGAATTCTTGTCCCGTGTTATGGTAAGCATTTCGCCATTCCCTGCTTCTTTGTGCCCCTTTCAAATTCTGTACTGCTTTTACGTTTAACCTCCAAGCTACATTACAAGTCACCACATGTAGGATGCACTGATTTAAACAATTTCCTCTTCCCACCATCGCTTTTCAACACAGGATGAAATTGTCAAAGTGCTCTGCCACCTATTTTACTCTGGCTCAGAATTTATTCTATGATACCACCCTCAATATAGTATATCTACAAGGTGCCATCAAGTTGGTGTCAACTCTTAGTGACTGCTGTAAATAGACCTCTTCCAGGATGATCCAAAATGATTCTTTTTTGTTTTTATTGTAAACTGCCCAAAGTCACTCGCTGAGCAAGATGGGCAGTGAGTAAATTTGAAATACAAATAAATAAATAAAATGATCAGTCCCTAACCTGGCACTTGAGGTGTTCCCACACTGCACCCATCACCTCTTCCAAGGACATTCCAGTGATTTCTTTAATGCCATCCATCCCATTTGCTCTATTCCCCTTCTGCTTCCCTCAGATTTACCAAGCCTAAATACTTTTGCTCCTAGTACAGTGAGTGTATTCCCAAATAGTTCCACAGATCGATTGTTACATCGTTCTCTAAGTGTGGTACTCAATTTTTATCAGTCCAATGATAGGTGAAGTGAGACATTGAACTCCGGTCAGTAACTGGGATTGGCCAGGCTCCTCATATCTTGGTGGATCGATTATCTGCCACCAAGTTGGTGCCAACTCTTAGCGACCACATAGATTTTCTCCATGACGATCTATCCCTAACCTGGTCATTCAGGTCTTCCAGTGGCGCCCCCATCACTGCTGCACCTGAGCCCATCCATCTTGCTGCTGGTCGTCCTCTTCTTCTCTTTCCTTCCACCTTTCCCAGCGTCAGAGCCTTCTCCAGAGAGCTAAGTCTTCCCATAACATGTCCTGGTGGATCAGTATATATATCTCTATCCCTGCCTCCCTATATCCATTACCAAATCTGTCTTGTCTGTCTTCCCTAACAGGTGCGATCCCGTTTTCCCTTGGTTCCTTCCTCGTTTACACTCACTTGGATAAACTCTGGGGTCAGCCCAGCCTCCGTTTCACACCAATGCAAAACTTCTTCAATGGCTGTCTGGCAGCTGCTGTGGCCCAAACTTTCTCCTTCCCCTTCGAAACGGTCAAGAGGAAAATGCAGGTATGGCCTGTCGCAGGGACCTGTTCCCGCCAAGGTGTGCAGCCTGACAGCTTGTTGAGAATAGTGGGGTTGTTGCCTCTCTTCGCCTGCATAGTGAGCTAGAGGTAAAATGATTCCTGTGTGTGTGGACACCGTGTTTTGCCTTGTCAAAAAGACCTGTCTGGAAACACACCTTGCCAGCTGCTTTAGCAAAAGGTGCTAAAGTAGCATGAAGAGTCAAACAGATTTGGAAGCCGTGTGACCTGCATCCCTCTCTTATAGAGTTCTCCATTTAGCACACTTTTCTTTAGTCCACTGCTCAGAGGTGGTGACCCAAATTCTTTCCTGAAGACTCTAGGACAGTGTTTTTCGAACCTGGCAACTTTTAAGATGGGTGGACTTCAACTCCCAGAATTCCCCAGCCAGATATGCTGGCTGGGGAGTTCTGGGAGTTGAAGTCCACACATCTTAAAGTCACCAAGTTTGAAAAACACTGCTCTAGATCATCTGCAGATGGCATTGGTATTTGTTTAATTACAAAAAGCTGACGTTTGATAGCATAATTTTTCCCCCTTGTTAAAATAAGAAGCAAACTGGCCATCTTAAGCTGCTGACAGTTTTAACACCCGTATTGTCTTCCCCCCAGAAAGTCAGATAGTTCTTCCTTGCCCCTTTTAATTGCTTCATCACAGAACTGGGGGTAGGGATGAAATAACCACAGCCCCCAACCTCAGAAACATTGCCAGCCCCCTCTTTCACTCTATGGCTACCGGAGAAGAAACACTTGTTTTTCTGAACCACTAGGTGGCGCCCTGCTGCTGCTTAAAGGGACACGGAGCCTAGAATTTCCTTTCCTTTGCAGAATTTCTCTCTCAAATACTGTATGGTCTTTATTTATTCATTTACTTACTTATTATTTACTTATTTATTAATTCAATTTGTATGGCCGCCCATCTCAACACGTGACTCTGGGTGGCGAACAAAATTAAAATAAAATAAAAGTAATTACACTAATACAAAAATTAAAATGCATAGTGGCTGAGAATATATTATATACCACAATCACTAATATAACCAAGAAACGGGTCCCTGCCCAGAGCCAGGTCTTTAAGCATTTACAAAAAGCATGCAGGGCCAGCAAGGTCCAATTGGAACTGGACTTGAGAGCCTTAAAACCAGTTTTCATTCTCATAAATGCTAAATGCTGAAGTAAGCAGAGTAACAAGAAAAGAATCAGCAAAAAAGAAAAAATGAATAAACAAACAAATAAAATTAAAAATAGGCTTTTTTCAAACCTATCAATAGGAATCTTCTTATATTAAAAGTGTGATTTCAATAGTGCTTCCAGGTCTCCCCACCTGGGCCGCATTTACACATTTAGTTGATTGTTTATCATATTTATATGGCCACCCATCTCACAAAATGTGACTCTGGGCAGCATACAATAAAAAAACATAACATGAACGATACTAAAAAACATCCCACAGTTAAAACATTAACATTATTATTAAAAGGCTGGGAGAGATCATTAGATGTTACAAACAACATCTTTAAACATCATTAAATCACCATTTCCTCGAGACCCCCAAGCCGAGCTTACTAAATCAGCTCCCTGAATTTCTTTAAGTGATGGCTGGTGTTACCCAGTGTGGTAACAGTTTGGAGGCCTACAAACCTTATAAATTCATAGATACATAAAACTAGGCAGCCCTGAGTACATTTATATGGGAGTATATTCTCAACTGAATGGAATTTGTAAGTCAAGATACTTCAGGTTTGGATAGATGTGAAGTTGCTTGTTCCCTTGCAAAGAAAATATTTAGGAAACATCAATTTACTGGCTCCTTCGTGTTCATCCTAATTTTATTCCTCTGTTTCCTCTCTTCCCTTTGCTCCTGATTGACATGTTAGAGAAAGAAAAGGTACAGTATAACTCTTTGGGGATAAAAGCTCCTGGTTTAGAGCCAAAATTGGCTCTATTTATTTGCTGCATTTATATTTATTGCATTGATAGCGACTTTCTCTCTGAGAGCCCCAGGGCATATGGGTGTGCCCCTTCGTTTTGTCCTCTCAACAGCCCTGTAAGATAGATCAAGCTGAGAGAGAATGGTTAGTCCCAGACCACTTAATGAGCATCATGGTTATGGTGCTGGTGGAGATGAACCTGGGTCTTCTGGTCTACATCTTGACTGGCATCTGAACAAGCAGCATTTTCCAGTGTTTGCTGAGTCTTTGATGGTTTTCCTTCCAGCTTTGAGTACTCAGGTGTTTGCAACTGAACTAACCTTCAAAAAGATTCTGTGCTTGTAATTTAGATTTTGGATTAAATTAAACTTCCCTAGATCTTTTTTTTTTTTCCTTTCAATCCCTTGTTAGCAATGCTGGATCATATCTTCCACTTCCAAACCTCAACAAGTTCTTGCTCTGAATTCTCCTCTCCTGGAAGGATCCCCTGTAATCTCTCCCTCTCTCTCTGCTACGCTTTTATGCAGGTTTTACCCACACGACTTTTCTTAAAAGCGGTTCGTGTAGAACAATTAAAACAACAACATGTTCTCAGCAGAAGATTGGCGGGAGGGTTGCAGGGAGGGCCCAGTTTGGGGAACTGAGGCAGAAGAACACCACGGAATAACGAGAGGCAGCAGAAATTGTGGGACATCCTGTGGGTTTTAAAGAATGCTTGCAGCTGGATCGTCAGAGCCCTGCAGAGAACACTCTAATGCAGACTTGCATGTGGGAAATGCCAACGACTCATCTTTTGTTTTAAATTCAGTATGGGACTTTAGCCACAATAAGATGGGACATTCCACGTGTGACAATTTCATATCTTGTGTTTAGCTATAATGCAATTTGTTCCTTTGTGCTTGGCATGAGCACAACCCCGACTAATCTGTTTGGGGGATGTGTGTGTATAATTTTTATTAAAAGTTTTTTTAAAAAATAAAAACTATAACTAAATTAAAACAGAAAAATCAAAAAAGAGAGAAAGAAATAACAGAAACAGCTAAAAGTGCAATAGAAAAAGAAAGTAGAAAAAATTATTATTTTATTATTCTTAAATTATTCTTATTTATAATTATAAAATTATCCTATTATTCTGATTGGTTCAACAAGCAAGGGTTGGGGAAAAAATGTGCCTTAATGCGAGACACAAACTCCACCTGTATTTGCTGTGAAGTTTTTGTAGACATCCAAAGTTCGTTCATCTCATTTCCCAGGCATGGTGTGTTTTTTAAAAAAGACCGCCTAAAAGTTCTCATTTACTGCGGTAGATGTCTTTCTTTAGCAGGGTTTAGAAGTTGTTCATCAAATGAGAGAACACGCGGCTTGTTAATTGATGAAGAATTTGTTAACCTTAAGATGTGTTCCAAAGATAGTTGTACTCATGTAACTGATTAATCGTTTAAACCAGTGTTTCTCAACCTTGACCATTTTGAGGCGTTGTGGACCTCAACTCCCAGAATTCCCCAGCCAGGGAATTGAAGTCCACATGTCTTAAAGTTGCCAAGAGTGAGAAACACTGCTCCAGACCCACACAACCTCCAAAATGCCAAGAGTGTAGATGGTGAACATACCTAATACTCCTTCTTCCTCCTATTTTCCCCACAACGACAACCCTGTGAGGTGAGTTGGGCTGCGAGAAAGTCACCCAGCTGGCTTTCGTGCCTGAGGCGGGACTAGAACTCACCATCTCCCGCTTATTAGCCTAGTACCTTCACCACTAGACCAAACTGCAATTTAAATTACATTCAATTAATTAAAATTGTAATGTGTTTTATTAAAGATGCTGCTAATTTTTGTCCAAAAAGGAAGGGGAAGAATTAGGATTGTTTGCCAAGCCTCTTGTTTTACATTTATGCCCCTTAGTCAGTTTAAACCAGTGTTTCTCAAGCTTGGCAGCTCGTGTTTTGTTTACTGAAATATGACCTCTCAGCTAATGGTGCCGGCCAAGCAGAAGACTTGCCTGTCTATAGGATATACAATCTACCCTTTAAACCAGTGTTTCTCAAGCTTGGCAGCTTTAAGATGTGTGGACTTCAA